AGAGACTGAAAACTGCCCTCAAACGATGAAGCAGCAAATGGACGTTGGAGAGAGCTGGGAGAGTATACTGTACTCTCGACAAAACAACCGGCCTTGTGTTAATTCTCGGTCTTGTCTAGCGAATACATAATACCTTCATTAAAAATTCAAGGTATTTGTCGTAGTATCTCTGTATACACGCTACGTAATTTCCCAAGTAACAGCAGAATCACATGAATTACGTAATATTCCTGGGAAACGTATGTATATACTGTAACTGTGTGTAATAAACGGCAGCGTTTTGGAAAACAGAAAGTACGACGATCATTCATAGTAGAAATCTAATAACTCGAATACCACGGTAACCCGAATACCCATGCGTTTTCGTTTAATGGAATTCCGGTTGTTATACGGGGCTTGGGGTCGCGTTGAATATTACCAGAATGATAATCTTGTGCACGAGATAATCGGTGCACACCTATTATTATCAGCGCGCGCTATTGCATAGGTTGATATATTCGCGCAGGACACACGCGCGCGCGCGCGCGCGCGCGGATATATTATATATATGTATATGTTATATATATGTTATATATAATATGTGTGTTGTACATCGAGAGATAGAGGTTATTCCGCAAACGCTACGATTCGTCATGCGATCCTGTGCACGCAATATATCAAAAAGCAGAGGCGGGCCTGTCGCGTTGCATTATGCGAGCGTCGGCGGCAAAAGCGCGAGACACAACCGCGTCCGTCGACGTCGTAAATTAGGCCAGCTGCTCGCAATCCGCTCGTGCTCGGAACGGATTAGCGTTTCGTAATATAATGTTGCAACGACCATTCTGTTTGTCGCGTAACTTTGTAAAGACATTCCGAGCTCCGGCCGGGGGGAGGGGAGGGGACGATATCTTTCCCCGAGAAAAGACGAGACGGGAAATAACGCTCGCTGGACTTTCAACTCGTTCTCATCTTGGCATTTTCTTATTTTGCGGAAGGAATGTATGAGAGATACGGCACACGCCCTTAACGCTCGGAGATATTAAAGGAACGTTTATACGGACGAGAAAGCCAAAGAGTATGTCCAAAGTTTCGCGCCGGAGAAATGGCTACGCGTCACTCTCCTCCCCCAGAACATTACCTACAATATGCGCGATAAATAATGAATAAAAAATATGAATAATAAATTAACCGTGATGTAATCCGTAATATCTGTTTAATGATCCGTAATAATTAGTTGTATTCAAATTGACGTTGCGTTATTTCGACAATATGCACGCATGGCTTGTTGCAGTTCATACAATTCTTGATCAATTATTCAAGCAGAAATAGTGCAATCTGCATAATTATTAACCTGCCTAATTAATGCGGCATCGAATTATACGTATAATTTACTCGAGGACCCGAGCTCCTCTTTGTGCCTCCCCACCCCTCTCCCTCCCCCCCCTTTCCAATATTTTATTTTACTTCACTCGCCGTCATGCCCACGTTTTATACGTCCAATGATACCCCTACTCTTCTGTCCTAAATGATAGAGACATTAACATTCGACATTGTGAAATTGCTTAATTAAAGGCACGTCGTACGCGCCTTTACCTCCATCCAGAAATTAAAGGGGTACGGATGGTCTTTGAATTCCTAGTCGCAAGCAATTTTTCTTCACCGTTACGCCCGACACTTTCCTAATTAACGTCTCGTCCTCGAGCTAATGGCGGTATAAGAAGCAAATGGTCACAGTAAGTAAAGAACGCACTCGAGGCAACTTCTGCCCGATGATCGATATTCTTTCTTCTCTCTCCTCTCCTCTCTCTCTCTCTCTCTCTCTCTCTCTCTCTCTCTCTCGCTCGCTCGCTCGCTCGCTCGCTCTCTTCTCTCTTTCTCTCGCCATGAATTCCATGTGAATTCGCACGAATGCCGAATGCCGAACGATAAGCGAATTTCGATCGCCGATATACAAATGCAACACTCGTTCATGATAAGTTGTGCTAAAACCAGCCGGTTTTGCATACCGTTATTGCACACGCATGCGTTGTTTTCTCTCACCCTTCTAGCATTTATGTATCCCACTTTATAGGAAACTGCACGATGCATATCGTACGAATACAATCAGCCGTGCTTTAATAGCATCCATCTAGCAAGGTGATTAATTAAACGCTATTAACGTTTTATTGTTAATACATACAGTTAATTGTTAATATGCACTCACTATTAAGTAATTTATATTACGTTCTTCAATCAGTCTACAAACTCGATTACGCAAGTTGGATATACATAACAGTTTAATTGCTATACGAATTTTGTAATCCCGCGCGCACGCGGTCATACTATTATTTTTATACAATGTAATTTTAAATATATTCTATGGAATAACATATTAAAATACATTGTTTAATTAAATATATTTTTTAATAAAAATCTTGAATAAAGTTGACGACCTCTACAGAATTCACAATATACAGGGTGTCTCATAATTATTGCATTTCCTCTTAAGAACAAATTCTTGAAGTAATTTTGAGACGAAAATCCCAATACAAAAATGTCGAGGGTATCACAATTTTTGAATTATAATTGGTTAAAGATGATTTATAGTTCAACAACTATTATAGTTTCGACTGTCATATTTTTGTATTAGGACTTTCGTCTTAAAATGTTCAAAAGAATTCAGAAGTAATAATAGAGGCTATGAAAGTAAAATGGTTTTTGACTTATATAAGCATTTAAACTTAGCTTATAATTTAAAAAATTAATATAGTTCGACATTTACGTATCAAAAATGCCGCATTTCCTTAAGAGGTGAGAGAGAGAGTTGTAAGACACCCTGTACATTAATACAAAGTGTTTATATGCACACTGAAAGAAAAAAAAATAGTTGTGGCTATTATAAAGTACAACTCTAAAATTTAAACACTTGCAACTAGTTTTAAAAAGTAATAAGAACTAAAGTAGTACCGAATGCTATAAAAATATGTTCAGTACTACTTTAGTTCTTATTACTTGTTGTTCTTATTACTCTTCGTAAAACCAGTTGCAGGTACTTAAATTATTAGAGTTCTTAATTCGATAATTGTCAAAACTATATTT